AAGGAAGGAAGGAAGGAAGGAAGGAAGGAAGGAAGGAAGGAAGGAAGGAAGGAAGGAAGGTTGGTTTCTCCTGAGATTCCTCAATGGAGTCCTGCTCACAGCCCCTGCATTCTCTCTGCTGCCCCCTGTTGGTGACACCTGTTTTCAGGCCTTGGTCTCAGGATTCTAGCTCATGTCTTGGAACACCAGACTCTGTGAAGAATGAGGACCTCACCAAAGTTCCCCTGGGAACAGAGCTAGAGAACAGAGGTTGACTACCCAGGAGCTCCAAGGAGAGACTTTTGTCAAACCTAACCATAATTAATAAAAACTGAAGATAAGCCCTGCCTGTGGTTATTGGTTTGTCCAGGACCAGACAGCCCTTATTCTTTATTTTTTATCCTCTATCTGAATGTACCCCAAGACTACATGTTCTTTTAGGTTCACAGTAGCCACTGGGAATGAAAACCTGCACTCCAAGGCTTTGAGCCAAGAGGTGTTTAAGGCAGAGAAGACTTTGTCTGCACAGGGCATAGCAAGAGAGGGAACACAGTGGAGAGGAGAGGTAGGAGACCCAGACTGCTGTGGTGGAGGGGTCCTGAGCATGTGATGGCCTGGTGGATGAGGTAGGGAAGCTCAACCAGGGACTCAAAAGAAGGCAGAGGACCTGCCAGTCCCGACCTGCACTGGGTTAGCTCAGTCAAGAGAAATGGGATTCAAACCTCAGAGAAAGTGGATAAAGAGGTGATGGAATATGGTGTGGACAGGGTGACCAAAAACAGCTATTCCCACAGAAACCAGCCAGAGGCCCCTGCCAGTGCTCCTAAACAGACATACGGGAATTGTGGTCTCAACTAGAGAGAGCCTCATGGCAATATGGGAAGAATCCCTTAGTTACCCTGAAGCAAACTGTCCCCTCTGCCAAAACAGGATCTTGTACACCAGGCTGGCCTCCAACTCACTATGAAGCTGAGGATGACCTTGAGCCTCTGATTCTCCTCCTCCACCTCCTCACTGCCGGGATCACAGGTTTGCACCACCACCCCTGTTGTGTGGTCCTGCAGCTCAGACTGGGGTCACTAGTATCAGAAGAGCACTTTACCCTGAGCCACACTCCAGCCTTCTGACGGACTTGTGTGTTTTGTTCTTTCTGTTATAATTTAAATTTACAGGACTGAAGAGATGGGTCACCAGTTAAGAGCACTTACTGCTCTATCAGAAGGCCAGGGTTTGGATGTCAGCATCCATGTCAGGTGGTTCATAAACATCTGTAAACATCTGCTTTAGGGGATTAGACACCCTCTTCTGAACTTTGTCAGCACACACACACATATACACTCATGCCAAAAAAAGTAAGCCTTTAAGTTTATTTGCAATGGACACATAAAACATGAAATATTTACACACGTTGAGAGTAGCATGAGGTGTTCTAATGCATGTGTAAAGTGTATAGTGTTTAAATTGGACTAAACATGTCTGTGTCCTCAAACACTGGTCATGTTTGAATGTAGCTTTAATATATGGTCAGCAAAGGCTTCTTAGTAGGTTCAGGAAAACACAAACAAAATATTCTGCCTCACCTGGGCAGCAGAAACATCTACATCTTCTCCATGTCCTAACCCATTTAAACCAACCCAAGGTCTTCCAGGGACAGAGTTCCCAGCCAAGACAGATGGACAACACAATATGTTTGGGACATTTCCAAGCAAGAAAAATGTAAGGCACAACGCAATCTTGGATTGTCAGGGAGAGAGCATCTCCTCAAGCGGGATCCCTGTTGGAACACAAATGGTGAGCTCAG